TATATATATATATAAATGCATTTCTGAAGGCACACACATGTTTATACATTAAAAATTAAATATGTTTATTTCAAATTTTATTACAATAGATAACTATACTATCAAAGAATAGTGTATTCTTTAATAGTATTGTACCGTCATCGCGTTAAGTACCTACTATCGTCCAATGGAGATCCCAGTGGTAACAAAAATGATGCTGGGTAGATAAAAAAGAGGACTTGTGAGTTTCTATATACTTCACCACAAAAAAGTTGGCATAGAATCGTAACAGCAGAAAAAAATGAATATATGTACCTATTGTTTATACATTATGAACGATTAATTTATTTCTTTTCACTATCTTATAGGTTGTTACTTTGGAAATCACTTTTAAATATATCACCTGCAGATATACATTTCTTCAAAGTGCGCGTGTGACTTGAATTTGTTGATGCGCATGCGTATAATATTTAATTAACAATAATTATTTTCAACTAATTAACGATAAATAAAAAATATTTAACAAAATAAAATTGAGAGAGAAACAGGACAAATAAAAAGTGAGCAATTATATATGGAATTTGATTGAGCAATTGGTTAACGATTAAGAGCACTTATTCATTTATTTCTGCTGTTGCAATTCTATGTCAATTTTTTTTTTTTTAAATGTTTAAATTATTACTGTCGGTACCGTCTTGTTTTTTTCCGTCGATAAGGTAGATATCATTAGATCATTGATTGCAAATATCGTAGACCACTGAAAATTGTGTATTTTGTTTTCTTATCTAACTTACCTTTCAATTTTCTTACCTTTAACATTTTTCCAACAACTTTAATCATTCTTGGAAAAGGATAGTCAACTTAATGAAAGCATAAATAATAAATGGACAATACAGTTTAATGTCAAAGTTGTAAGAAACCTTTTAATGTTGATTACTAAAGTTTTAAGTATATTCTCTCTCTCTCTCTCTCTCTCTCTCTTTCTATCTTTCTCTCTCACATCCCTTTTCTTTATTTTATTCTATTTTCTAATCGTTAAATCTCCATCTAGCCTCATTTTCCCTGACAGCACTTTGCATTTTCAAATAAGCTCCGTCTCGTGGATCGATGTCTTCTCAGTGCAGACAAAAGTTCTTGAAACATGACAGACCGAAGGAACGTCATATTATATGTACGGTGTATGTAGCTTCGAGCAAGTTGAAGAAAAATTCACGAAAAGGTCAGACGACTTCTTCTCTTCTATGTCCTCCACCTTCACTTCCACCTCCACCTCCTCCTCTTCTTCCTTTTATTTTTCTAATACCGTAACGAGGTAAAGAAAATCTTTGTCTCTTGGTTTTTTGCGACGTTGAAGAGTATGACCTTTGAATCATATCAAGTTGAAAAAAAAAAGGAAAGAAAAATTTCATCTTACCGCAATTATTTGAAGCCGTTGTTTTTATTAAATTCAACGAAACGTTAGAACAATTTGACGAATTTGTTTTTAAAAAAGTACCGTTCGAATATAACAATATTTAAATATTTTGTTAATTTCTACGAAGATAATTGTTATTTTGTTTTCGTTAATTTTTTCAAAATATAAAACGCGATTGAATTATAATAAGAGATAATGGTGTAGAATTGCGATTCGATGGGGGGGGGGAAAAAAAAAGGAGCTTGGTAATTTCTTTAGGCGACACTCGTACAATTTTTCAGTGCTTTAAACGAATGGGGAATACCAATCGAGTGGTGTTGAAGTGGACTGACGAAAAAGAACAAAGGGAAAAAACAGAAAGAAATAAAGAAAAAAAAAATTGTATTAAACGTCGAATTGCTGCTTCGACATTGATTGGAACGTTCGATACGTCGATACAATTTTTGTCATAACAATGATTTTTGTTTTTCCATATCAACACGCGAGTAAGCGAATTTAAATGATTATTTTAATCAATGCTCACGGAATAAAAGAAAATTTGAAAAGATATTAAAAAAACAAAAAAAAAAAGAGATGACAAAGACGACGTTGAGAATTATTTATCATTAATTTTTTAATCGTCCCGATTTGGTTTCATAAAAGGATAAACGAAAATAAAAGAAAAAAAAAAACAAATAATTATAAAAAAAATAGGGTAGAAAATAATTCAGCACGAAAAAAGTATAGAATGGTAAAATGGTAACAAGGGTTATATAAAGGTGGAAGAAAATAGGTTGAAAAAGGTTTTCTTTTAGAGAATTAGTATCTTTGACGAATCGTCGCGTGTGATTGGTGATCGATTTCGATTGTCGGTCGGTGATCGTAAAAGAAAAACGCTTGGGGAGGCTATTTTACGAAAAGGCTGAAAGCAAAAGTTTGACGAAGAAAAAAAAAATATAGGAAGTAGAAATAGAAGTAGAAGTAGAAATAGAAATAGAAATAGAAATAGAAGAAGTAGAAGAAGAAGAAGAGGGAAAAGCTGAAATTCAGCCTTTTTTTTAAAGAGAGGAGGAAGAAGAAGAAGAAGAAGAGAGACACCTTTTTTTTCTCTTTCACGATCAGAGTTACAGGTGGTTGCTCCTGTCGAGAAGAATAAAGTAAGACAGAGGAGAAAAATAAAAAAGATCAAGAAAAATATACGACTAAATAATAATAATAATAATAATAATAATAATAATAAACGAACGAAAATATAAAAAAATTAAACCAATTGCATTATATTTTAATCAGAGTTTCGATTTTTCAATCGTAATATTTTTTCCCTCTCGTTACTTTCTCACGTTGAATAAATTATAAAAGAAATGATATATTATATTCAAAGTGGAAACAAGAAAAAAAGAAAAGAAAAGAAAATAAAGGGGATGGGAGGGGCTATGCGGAAATTGGAGAAGATTTTGCCGAGATTTTGAAATGAGTTAAAAGCTAAAAAAAAAAAAACCGGAGCTTTCTCGTTTCCTCTACCTGATATTGCTTTAATATATAGAATCGGGGGTTAAGGAGGAAATAAATCGTTTTACGGAAAATCGTGCAGTAGGAGAATAAAAGCTAGCCAGGAACGTGGTCATTTCGTCTTTGATAATAGTAGTAAAACTCGTGCTTAAGTCAGACGTAAACGAAGGTGACGCTTTTTAAATTATTTTCTTCGAACTTTTTTTTATATATTGTACAACTTTCTAAAAAGATTATTCAAAAATATATATTAATAGTATGAGTTACGTTTTTTAACATATTTACTTTTTTTTTTTTTTTTTATAAATATCTATCAACCTAATGGATATATCGTTTTCCTTTTACGTATTCTTTTTATTTCTTCTTTTTTTTTTGTTTTTCTTTTTTCTTTTTTTTAAACGGTATTTTATTATTCCAAAGGAACAAAAATTACGCGGAAAAAGGAAGAAAGAGAGGATATTAAGAGAGAATGTCAATTAAATACTTAAAAG